AGCTCGTTCCGCCTCGCTCAACTCAAAGTTGAGAATTCAAGATGGCTGCTCCCTACGTGAAAAGTAAGAGAGAACTCGAAATACTATAATATTTATAAAGCTTCTGTTATATTCCCGTGTCATAATGGAGTCATACACTCATTACTGCCCCACCTCTATCTGTCAACATGTTGCTATAGTGTATGTGAGTGTCTGCAGTTACAAAATGCGATGTATGCGATGTTCTGTTTTTTTTTGCTAACACTGCTAATGCTAAAATGAGTGAACTCCATTACATTTTTTTCTGACTTCTCTACTGGAAGTGACGTCATTCGTGTGTTCTGAAGTGGTAAACTGTACACTTAGAGTTGTGGATTTCGGACAGCAATTAAATTACCATACGACCTTGGTGTTTTTCAAAAAAGCGTAGGTAATTTAGCCGGGGATTTTTACGCGGGTGGTGGTAAAAAAACAAAACACTGGCATTCTGGATTCATGTGGCAATAAAATCACTGGCTAACCCCTGTACATGTTGAAAATCGCTTATGTCCCCATGATAAACAATTACTGTCCAAATCAGGCTATTGAGGCATTTCTTGTCAGATGTTAAATAGACATTTATAAAATGTTTTTAAGATGTTTATGATTTAGAATGTATGTAAAAATTTACTTTTTAAACACTTTTAGCCCGGATAGTACATGTAAGTCTCCAAGATGTCTTTTTGAGAAGGTTTGTCTGGAAAGCATCTGCTGTGTGCAAACATCTGATAAATGTATCTTACATTTTAAGTCACAAGCATCTTAAAGACATTTTCTAAATGTCTAAGAAAACACCGCATGGATGCATTACAGTTGAGCATACATTCTCAGCAGTTTACATGTGCTATCTGGGAGGAATTCCTAGCATTGCTATTATGTTGTTAGCATGTTTATAGCATGATTTAGCACATTGCTATCATGTGGACGACAGATTGATAGATATAGATAGATCCTTAAAGCATCACTGATAATCACCATCCACATTAACAATCTTACACAGTTATATTTGTGTTAGAGCAGTTTCGTGAAGCGCTTAGGCTTTGAGTGATATTTCTGAAGCGCTCAGCAAGCAATACAAGAACAAGGCTTAGGACCTCATCCGTCAACTCTCAGCCACGGCTCCATTACAGAGTTTAATTAAGGTCATTAATCCTGCTTATTTTTCATGAATGTCTCATTCATTCCTTCACATACCCAGCCTAACCTCGCTGTGGGCACACACAGTTGTCTGGGGCAACATCCCAGTTAATTACAACGAGCACTATTTCATTGTAAAAAAATGCTGTAGATGAAGTCTTGGACATCAGAGGAACTCCTTGAGGTACCCTTGTGTCTCAGCTCTGAAATGTGCTAATTGCTAACACGGTTGCAAAAAAAAAAAAAAA